ACAACTAACATCTCATAGCAATTCCCCGCTAGAATCCTACATGGCATTCTCGAAGCATTTGGGCATGATATTTCTGCAAAGGCAGGGCAAGGTTTTGATGGTAGGTATTGAAACTTTACACTATAATATGTCATTGGTGAAAACTAGGATGTATCTTTTTAGTTTTATACTTAAATGGAGAGATATTTTCTAAAAACATGGTATTCAATTGAATGCCCATGATCCCCTCTAGACCCACCCCTGTCTTTCTGTTGTGGGAACTAGCTCATATACGGTAGTTACTGAGTATAAACAGATCTTGTCGAAACTTCTAAGAAACGAACATATCCAAGCCATTAGGCCCTAGCGGAGTTGTTCAATTTCGATGTCCCTGGAGACCCTTAGATAAGGAGCACAATAAGGTTTTTGTCACTCTCGCACCTACATGTAGAGGCTTTGTTAGCCGATGTGTGGTTGTGAACCATAGTTTCATGAAGAGTAAATATGAGGGGGGCTAAGCATGTTGGTAAAATGAGAAGCTATCTGCACATGGTCAATGGAACTAAGTGTTTGGTCATCAGCCTCTAGGAAAATGAACTAGATGATCGCTTCTACTACTTCTCATGCTGCAATACTAGGGGTATTCGACATCAGTGACATCCATGATCATCTTCCATGGGGAATTATCTCAAAACAAAGCTCTCATTCCCATATGGAGCAAGCTATTGGACTACAATCAATTGTGATCCACGGGATGACGTGGATAAAATCCATTTGTTTGATGAGATCAGAAACATTAGATTGACCACTGACCCTTGGATGTTGGTGGGCGACATAACCTTGATCTATCAAAATTAGGATAATAATAACTCTTTTTTCCAATAGGCACATGATGGGTCTTTTTCGTTGCATTTTGGATGATCTAGAGCTAAAGGAACTCAGTCACAATAGGCGCAATATCAATAGGTTGAATGATAGAGAAAGGCACATCTTGGTGTGATTTAATCGTGCTTTCCCCTACCTATCATGGGAAAACATGTTTTCCTAATAACTTCCTCCTGCGCGCCCTCTCTCCTATGGTCTTTGACAATAGTTCACTATTCCTAGAAATATCCTACTCAACACAGAGCAAAGGAAGGTTTCACAAAGAATATTTCTAGTGCAAAATAGGAGGTTTCCACCAAATAGTAAAAAAGCTTAGCTGGACCAATGCTCGATCGCCACTCATATTCACTGTCGAGATAGACATTTGCATCAAACTACTAGGGAATTATAGAGTTGAACTAACAAGAAATTACATAACATCAGTATGTAAATCTCCATAGTTAGCAAGGTCCTACCGTAGACAAGAATCCTCGAGGAGAAATTGAAATTCTCATTACTAGAGTGATTGGTGATAGGAGTTCAAAATGGAATTACTAGTGCTTTGTTCCCTTCCGAAAAACAATAGCCTGGCAACAAGTGAGGATTGCTTTGATCAAAGAAGGTGGTGCAAACACTACTTTCTTTCATCACCACACAACTCTCCGCAATTGGCACACCTTCATCTAACAACTCTTAGATAATACCATACCATATGGTCGCAAGAAGAATGGGCCTTGTTGGCGCATTAGTCCACAAGCCTAATGGGTACTCCACAGGACTAACCCAACTCCTTGAATTTAAATTTCATTGAGGCAAAAAGGGCAAGTATGCATAGCTATAGGCCAAGTCCTCGAAGAAAGAGGTGTGGGTAGAAATTTAGGCAAGACGAGAAGAGAAGACAAGGACCTGATGATTTCTTGAGCCTCTTCTATCACCAATGATGGCAAACAATAATGAAAGATATCCTGACGGCAACCAACCGACATTTCTGAATAGATGTAACTAGCTTTAAGAAGTCGAATCGGCCATTCATCCCATTGATTCTTATGAAAACTAATGCTACTACTTTATGGTATTATTGGACAATAAGCTTCCTTCTCATCTTCTCCAAGTTGTTCCCGAATATCTTGGCACTTCAACATGCACTACTATGAAGTTGATTGTGAAGAACTAGAGTGCCTTTATAAAAGGCCGCTTCACACATTACAACTTCGATTAGTACACCAAACAATGAAGAAGCTACACAACGTAAGAATGCCATTTCTTTTTTTTTTTCAAATTTGGTAAGTTCAAGCATTCAAATCATTTCAATGGTAATTCCTCATGAACGGAATAATAAGGAGTCCAAGGAGACCCCTTGTTGCCACCAATATTCATATTGGTAACGATGCCTAAAACACGTTCTTCAAGAAGCATAACACCAAGGGCTCTTCTCCCTACTAAACATTCTTCATAGAGTAGCCCTTCTCATCAAGCCAACACGCTTGAAGCTATGCAAAACTAAGGAGATCCTACGAATCATTGGGGAGCATTGGTCAAGCAAACTACTCTGAATGATCAGTGGAGCAAATACATTGCAACAATGTCAAGCCAACAATTATCACAAAGGAGTCCCCATTTGAATTGCTATGAATCTACTCATTCACTAGGCAGTAAGAACCACAACCTGAATACACATACACTCGAGCTGGTTGAGTAGGAAAGACGTACTGTAGGCCTGTAGTAGATGCTTCAAGAAGCCAAAATCATGTGCCACCAATGGTTCAATGTGAAGCACGGTACCAGAAACTTATGTTCAAGAAATATCCGAAGAAAGCGGCATGCCAAGCAAGAAAGAAAGTGTGCACAAGTAACCTTATGAGGGGATCGCTAGGCACTAAATCCCATGGGAGGGTAGGTCATCCTCCCTGCGGCGTTGAGCTTTCCGTGTAGCGGCATGAGTCGTGCCTCTATGTCTTGAGTTTGGGGACAAGAAAAAAGAGTAGGAGGTAGTGGCTGGGGTAGAATGGCAAGGAAAATGAAAGGTATTTGGGATTAGTATGCACCAACATGTGGCTATACATATGTTTGGCCTACTTGTCAGTCATGTTGGGCCTCCAATGGGGAATGGGGATGGAGAAGGGGGAAACACCCTGGCCCAACATACCCGATAGGATGATCATGTGACCTATTTCCTTTCACATGGGGGGAATAGTTGGCCCATTTCCAACACCTAATAGAGGAATTCCCTGACAGGTAATGGGGTACGGAGCCTCATTGCGGTCCCTAACTGCAGGTATCCCACACATCCTAGTAAGTAAATCAATTTAGTTATATGTTCTATCTAGCCTGTAACTCCAACTAGCCTGTAACTCCAAAGAATGATGCAATAGATGAGTCGGGTCGAAGCTAAATCCTTAATAGCCATCATGCCTAGCGCTATCGCTAAGCATAAGGCAAGAAAATGATTGGCTGATTTTCTTACAAATATCTAGGACTACCTATGGGCATATGAAAAAAATTTACGGCCAGTCATTGATAAGGTCATGAGGAGATTGTTGGGCTAGAAATTAGAGCAACTCAACCCATTCGAACCCAATTAGAAAATCCGAGTTGGTGCAAGCTAGAAATCAGAACAACCAACGATGAATAACTTGGTTCAAACATATTATATTTAGTTTTTTATGTTCAATTTAGGGGTATATGAGGTAAAAATTGCAAGTATCAAGTTATTTAACTTTCAATTATCAACATACTCTTGCGCACATAACCTAGATGGTCATGAATTATATCCTTTCCTTTCGCGCGAAGCAAAAAATATATATATTTATCACCGGTTTATTTTGGTCTGGTCTTTTTAACTAACTGATCATTGCATGCTATGATCCTTTTTTTTTCTTCTCGTCTGGCTTTTGTCATTAACTCATTATGAAACAGACAAATTGTACCAATTAAGTCAATCCTAACTTCTATACCAATTTACCTACTAGTCGCCATGAAGCCAACTAAATGGACTACCAAGCCAATTAACAAAACCACAAGAAGGTTCTTTCTGAGAGGTCATGGGACCATGGCCATGCCAAGGGATAGCGTTGTTGGCTAGCTTGGTCTAATGTGCTCACCAACTTCGCATAGAGGATGGTTATTCACAATCTGGAAATACAAGGACTATAAGGGTGAAATGGCTTTGGCACTAGTTCAACGCTAAGAATCATAGTTTGGGCTACAAAGAAGAACGTCAAAAGCAATGTCCGCATTCTTCAAGCTTGGATCCACTTTCATTTGTAGAATAGCAAGTAATATCTTGTGTTCGAGGGACAAATGGATTGACACATAATGTGTTGAATTCATTTTCCCAACACTGTATCAACACATTTGTAAGTCCATATGCCAGAAAAGGGAAGCGTTAAACATGCTATAGTTTTGGCATTAGACCTGTGACATAAGGGTGGCTGTTGAGATGCAAGGGCTTGACCCAAGCATTGTGGTGATCTATAATACCCCGGTCCATTAGTAGTGAAGGCATGCGTGGCCCATGGTGTGGGGATTAGTCCCACATGAAAAGTGTAGCTAGGTTGTTGCTAGCATATAAACTCACACATTCCAACCAGGGCACCTCCTTTTACAGAGGATTGAATTGTAAGTAGGATGCTACGCATATGCGGCCTCAACCTTCAGAAAGAGCATAGGCCCATATGGTCCATGGTGTGGTGTTGGTGGGACTAATCCCATATGGAGAGTTTAGATAGGTTAAGAACACTGGTTTGGAAGGAATGAAATAATCACATCTTCAATCCTGATAGCAAAAACCGGTCACAACTGATTATGGCGATGACAAAAGGAGCAAAGCAGTGGGCCGCAGCTGGAGCAAAAGTGCTTCATCTGGTGCCCTGAAAGTGCAAAACTTGTGTTTGGTCATGAAATGGTTATATGAAAATTAAGCTGTAATCTAAGATACTGGTGGGTGGCCTTTTGCATGCAGGCCGTGGTTTTTCATGAACTTCATCCACTTTTCTCTTACTGCAATGATATGCAAATCTTTTGCGTTTTCGGGAAATAAAAGAAAAAGAGAGAGCATCCACCTATTCACTTTTATGACTCTTTTTTCTTCAGCCTGTAATTGTTCCACTCATTTTCTCTATAACTTCATGTCACTTACTCAGCAACATTTTTTGCAGTATTGAAAACATTGTGGAACGTTATGAGCACTCTCAAGCAGCACAAAAAGGAGTACATGGCAGGTGCATTCTGCAAAAGGTAAAATGAGGACAATAGCAACAGAAATAAAATACTATATAAGAAGTGTATTTGTTCTCTTTTTAATGAAGATAAAAAAGATATATAATTTCTCTGATCATGTGCCATAAATTTATTTATACTAGTAGATCAAATCTTCTATGGTTATAACATATTTACCTTTTTCCAGAGTAGAAGCATCATCATTACTTAAGACAAACAGAGTAGTCATTCGTACTGTGTAAAACATTTTAAAAAGTATGGCAAACAGGCGCTGTCAGAAAATTCAACTAATTAAAAGAAGTGTATGGCTAGTTACAAATTTGAAATTTGACCCATGTAATTGTATAAACAAAAAAAAGAATGAAGTTGTGATTTTAGTGATTTTATCTGATAAGTTAACTATATATCATGCACACTTGCACAGATACACTTTCATTTATGAAATTTTTCTTGCTGATGCTGATGATAATTATTGTACCAGAGGAAGAGCAAGGATTTTCAAGTTCTCAAGGAAACAATAGATAAAGGACCAATCAATGATGACATGCGGTATCTGATAAATGTCTCTGCAAGTAACAACTTTAACAAAATAAAATATTATCGAACATTTGACTAATATGACCAAGTTGCAGACCTATTGATGAAAAAGACATATCCACATTAAACATGGACCAGATTAGCCAAATTGAAATATTATTGGAAGATGAACTGAGGTGGACAAGGGCAAGAAAGGTATGTGGTATCTTAATAATAGACAAAATAGAAGAAGACAACATGTATCTCTGTAGAACATGAATATTTCATTTATTTTAACTCATTAGATTATGTGCGTCACTTAAAGAATTTTTTGTAGACATTCCAGTTCTTTTCCAGGAAAAGTCTTTACCTTACTATTTTACCTTGGAAGATTTTCCATGGCTGTCTCACTATTTTACTTGATATAAATACCAAAAATTTGTTCAGCCTGGCCCTTCCAGTGATTCATAACTCACAAGTTAGTCTCTTTCACATGGTAATTTGGAAGAATGGTGTATCCAAAATGTTCCTATTCTCAGCTGATGCTGATTCATTATTAGAGTCTAGAAGAAACACATTTTGAGTCAATATTAATCAAGTATTTCGAACCAGTCAATTTTGAGTCAATATTAGTTGCCCCATCCTGCATTCCTGGTGACAGAAAATACGTACTATGCCTGTACATCATTGTGAACGCAAACAGTGGATGTTTGAACTTGCGGCATTTCACCATCTTTGAGTGTCATTAAGATAATTTCAGTTTGATTTGCAACCGGTTTCACTTCAAATCTAACGAACTACCTTTGTATGGACACAGGTGGTGGCAGATAGAATTGCCAGGTTGCAGAAAAAGGTATGCACTGAGTACCAGCACTAAGTTTTGTAAAACGTAAGTTATCTCTAAAAGCCAAAAACATACACTGAGCTCGATGTGTAGACCATACGAGTGAAAATTGGTGCATGCCATCTGATGAAATCTCCTCACAAAAGACTAGCTTAAGTTGATCCCTTGGTTTTACCAGACTGACGGCCTGACCGGCAGCAACATTCAGCAAGCACTATTTTGCATAACTGAAAAATTCAGAGATGCACAAGCCGTATGTGTTTCATGCGGGAAAGATTTCTGTGTGCACCTTAATGAGTTCCATTCCCTAGGACCTCCAGTTTATCTTGATAAGTTGATTGCAGCAGCAACACCCTTGAAAGAAAGAGATAAAATTCAGCAATAAACAGAATACCAGATGGCCAGATGGCAATATGGACAAAATAAATGACCATATGCTACGCATGTTCTTGCAGGTACAGAAGAAACCGGCGACTGCTGAGACAGAGAGCAACTCCACTGAGATGCCCTCTGATCATGAGAAGGTGACTCTGATTGCAGTGATTACTCCATCACTCACAACACTCTCAATCTTTCTGCAAAACCTGAAATAATTGTGACACACCTGCTCTGCTTTGTGTGCAGAAACAGGTAGCAGGAGGAAGCCAGCAGAGCGCCGAGGAGGAGGAGGAGGAGATGGAGGTGGTGCTCAGGCACCGCCTGAGCCTGGGCACCGGCGACCGTGACGATGGTGGCGGTGGCGCGGCGGAGCAACGGCACCGGACGACGCCGCCGCCGGCGGTCGACCTCAACGTGCCGTGCCGGGACGCGGGTCAGCTGCAGTAGACGTGGACAAAACACCATTTGTTGCAGCACAGCAATCCGAGCCCATAACACAGCGTAGTAGTAACAGTTTACAGCCGTAAACAATGTTTCGAAGTTATACTGTTGCTGGGAAGTTACTGTGCTAATAATTTTACTACTGTAGCGGTTCATGCCGAGGGACGCTGTGTGTGTCCGTACGTATCCGTATATATATTAATAAGGCTGGCTGTGCCTGCAAATTACTGCTAATGTGCAATGCATGCGAAAGAAGACGCATATGGTTTGGTTATTGATAATCCTTGACCCTAAGACGGTGAGGCTCAAGCATGTCGTGATTGGACGGCCTGTGTGGTTTATTGTATGCATATAGCTGAATCAAGCAAAAGAAAAGAAAAGGGTTTGCTTACACCAAAATATTAGCTATACATTTGATTTGTAGAAAAAAACATCGGCATTATCAAATTATACTCCCTCCATTAATAAACATACACATTTCTTGAATTCAAATTATGAAGTACGCAATATAAACATTTGTGAGATACTGATTTCAACACGATAATCTAGGCATTTTTTGGCTTGTTTAGAGTACGAACCTAAGCAATTTAAAATGATTTTTTCTCCTATCTCTAATCTTTGTTAAACAACTTATAAATGCTTATATTCATGAATGGATGAGTATTTAGTGCAGTTAACCAATTCCTAGTGTTGTTTTGCCTAAGATTTGGCGTTGGCAAAGAACAAAACATGACCAGACCATTAAGGCTGAGTTCGGTAAAGGGAGTAACTCACGCTCTAAACACGCAAAACAGAGCTATTCATTATCGTGTGATTAATTAAGTATTTATTTTTAAAATGGATCAATATGATTTTTTAAAGCAACTTTCATATATAATTTTTTTAAAAAAAACCACACCCTTCAACAATTAGGGAAGTGTGCGTACGGAAAACGAAGAAGTGAGTTGGGAAAGCTAGCAAAAAAAACTCAGCCTAAGTAATAATCTTCGGTCCTACTGCATTCATTCATAGCAGTGTAAGTTATGGCACACATTTGACTGCTATTACCTCCGTCCCAAAATATAGCTATTTCTAGCATAGTATTTTGTTTCAAAATAAATCTATTTCTCCACCTACCTCCTCCTCTCAACCAATCACACACTTTCTCCAATCATTTTCACTTATTTTCTTAATACTCCTGCCAACCTGAAAAGTTAATATTTTAATACCGAGAAAGTACCAATCGATGTACCTGCTACGCTGTGCTACTCCCTCCGTTCTATAATAAACCAATTTCTAGAGTTTAAAATCTATCCAAAAGAAACCAGCTTTTTACCTTCTTACCTACCATCGGTCTGCAAATCGAGAAGTTTTATCTTTTCAATACTTCTCACCTACCCATTCATCAATTTAACTTATTTTGCTATTATTTAGGTGTCCTTTGTCTGTCTTTAAATCCACATTAGGAAGTTTTTCGAGAATACGCCACATTGTGAATTTAGGATTAGAGTTTTTTTTAAGACAGAGAGTAGACTGCTAGCTAGACATTCATATGCTCACATGAAAAGGATAATGAGCTCAGGTGACAGACTGACAGGGGATGATGGCACGGGCCATTCTTCGAGCTCAGAAAATTTTCATGAATTAGTTCGAAACCTTTTCAAATGCACAAAATGTATAGAGAACTCGTAGAATTCGGCCAAACCTCTATTCCAAAGGAAGGTTCACCCCATTTTACCAATCTTTTAAACATTGGATGGAGTATTTTTCTTAAGCTTCTCTCTTAAGATCGGAAATTTCGCTTTTAGAGCCTCTTATAGAACGCATGAATTTTGCTCTTTCACTAAAAAAACAATAATGGAGGGATTTAGAAGAAATTTAATGAAAAAGTCTAACCAATCCCTATAAAATTTGTACGTTCAAAAGAAGCAAAACGCTGAAGCGTCACTTCAGATTCCATGCATGCGAGTAGAATGGCGCGGACCTGGTATTGCGCAGGAATCAGTTCGATCAAACCTTTTGAAAAATTTCGTAGAAATTGCGTCACACTCACACCTCATAAAATTCCTCTATCCCTCTTCACCCCATTTCACCTGTATTTTATTTAACCAGCAGGATGGATGGGATGGTTTCTCGCTTCTCTCATAAACCCATACCGCAAATCTCACCTTACTTTCAGAGCATCTCTTTAGACGGATGAATATATTTTGCGCTTTTCAGTAAAAAAAAGAACGGACGAATTCAGAAGCTAGAAATGTAATGAGAAGAACTCCAACCGATTTCACTAAAAGATTTTTTTCTACGTTCAAACGAAGGTAGAAAACCGAAGCGTTCTCTTGAGCTTACATGCAAGAACAAAGCAGAGTGGCACTGACACTGACCTGGACGCGGCTAGCTCTCAGCTATAGCAGGAGGAGAGCAGAGGCCACACCATACCCGGGACTCGACGAGAAGAAGAAGAAGCAGCAGCAGCAGCAGCAGCAGCGAAGACGAACACAAACAGTAGCAGCTTTGGTCTAATTCTGAATCTGATGCATATGGCCATATGGGTCTCCTCCTCCAGCTTATCCGGAGAACTATACATATATACCGGAGTGGGGTGGTGGCCGAGGCGGAGGCGGCAGGGGTGGGAGCTGGCCGTACGTGCCCACGCGTCGTGCCGCCGTAGGATGGACGTGCCACAAACACCAATACTCTAAATTAGTGTTTAAATATGAGACTAAAGTTAAGTCCCAAACACCAATTAAAAACAGCCGGGTGTTGCTACTCATGAAGAGATTGTGCGTGTGTACGGTTTATAGCGGTAAAGAGCGTTTTTAGAAAAACAGAAGTTTGAATTAATAGGCCTGTTTGGCCGCATCTGATAGACAGCAAATCTGCTGCTTATTTGCGGCGGCAGCGAAAGCGGCTGCTGCGGTGGGCTGTGTAAAACGAGCATACGTACAGGCCCAAAATCTTTCATGCGTGCCACGGTAGCAGTGTGCCTGTGCCACCGACACACACACAAAGCGAGCCCCTTTTTCACGGCAGGAATACGCAACACAAGAAGAAAGTCGTGCTAAGTAAGTAGCCAATCGCCGCCAAAGCTTATCAACCCCTCCTCATTCTGAATTTGTGATTCGATTCCATGAACAAAGAACAGATCGCATTTTCCCAATCCAAGTATCAAACGCGAACGAAATAAACAGAACCAAAAAAAAAAAAAAAAAGAAAAGCGATCGATGATGCAACTAATTAGCTAGTACAACCAAAAACACTGAAACAATATCACAGTAGTACAGCACCAAATTAGTAGTACTAGTACTAATCAGATGAACAAAAGAGAATTACTACACACCCTTTGATTCTGCCGTACTAGTACAACACAAGCGACCTGACATGACAGTATGACATCTAGTACAGCAAACACACACGCGAGATCCCCAATTCACCAGACAACCAACCAATCCACCAAAATCAATCAGTGAAAGGAGTAGTACATAGCTAGCCGGCGTAGATGTGGACGCCGATGGCGATGAGGAAGATGGTGAGGAGTGCGAAGTAGAGGACGGCGTGGACGATGATGGCGAGGCCGCTGGTGTGGAAGCTCCCGAACTCCGCCACCCGCCCCCTCCCGGGCACCGTGCACAGCAGCCCCGGCGTCAGCAGCACGAACAGCACCGTCGCCACCACCACCGGCCCCCAGTCCGCCATTTCCCCCTTCCTCCCTCTCTCGAGATTCCAATCTGGAGCTCTCTTCTGGGGAAATGGCGTTTGTGCGGCGCAGTAGTGGACTGGAGTGGGGTACTACTACCACTACTGCGGCTGCGCTAGGTAGGAATAGGATACGACGAGGAGAGTGGGCCCCCACCTCAGATCTGCTGCGCCCGGTGCCGATGACGGGTGGGCCATGGCAAGCGTGGGCCCCACGGGATCAGTGGCGTGGGGTCGGGTGCGGGCGGTCCCGGGCCACGGTGGCGGTGCGATGGCGTGCGCAAGGCTGGAAGGCACCGGACGAGGACGAGGCGTCGGGGGGTTTAGGCTGACAGCTGGGCCCGTCAAGCCCGGTGCCGTACGGATCACCGGCCCGGCCGGCCGATTGTTGGGCCGACGAGATCTCTCATGTCAGCTAATGCGGGGAAAAGTACACCAAAGGTCCCTCAACTTGTTATCGAGTTACAAAATCATCCCCTAACTGTAAAACCGGATATCCGGCGTCCCTTAACTAATCAAAACCGGTCACAATAGGTCTTTTGGTGGTTTTGACCCCGGTATTGTCCTACGTGGAGGCTAAGTCAGCGTGGACCCACGTAGACCCCACATGTCAGAATGTCACTTCATCTCTTTTTTTTCCCTTTTCTTCTCTTTTCTCTTTTATTTTCTTCACTTCTCTCGTCTTCTTCAGCGCGTAAGTGACGGGGCCAAGACGGGCACGCGGGCGGAGCAGGCAGAGACGCGCGGCCGAAGCGGAGCAGGGGGCGGGCGCCGCCGGAGTTGGGCAGCGACGGGGCGCCAGCAGCAGCCGCCGCCACGCTCACCCGCCGCCACCGCGCTCGCCCGACGGGGCGGCGATGGCTTTATGGAGACGTGACGGTAGCAGGACGGAATGTGAGGGAGGCGCCGAGCGAGGCGGTCACTGGTGGAGAAATGCTTTTTAGTCCCGGTTCGTAACCCCCTGTAGTCCCGGTTTTCCAACCGGGACTACGAATCCGGGACTAAAGATCGCTATCTTTAGTCCCGGTTCAAATAACCGGGACTAAAAATCAATCTTTAGTCCCGGTTAATGTTACCAACCGGGACTAAAGATGGGAGAATCTTTAGTCCCGGTTGATAACACCAACCGGGACTAAAGATATTTTTTCTTTTTTTTTTCTGCTTTTAATATTGAATATTGATTTCACACCATCCCCTCCCATATCCAAATCATCACATATTACAGAACATCTCCAAATCCTCAAACAAATCATCTCCAAATACATCACAAACTCTTAAAAAAATTACATCACAGGGTTCTAAAAAATTCATCACAGATTCACATCTCACACAAAAATACATCACAGATTCACATTTCAAAAAAAAAAAGAAAAAAAATCCGGCCGGCGGCCACTGCCGCCTCCCCTCCTCCCATCCGCGCCGGCCGGCCAGCGCCGCGTCGGTCGCCGCCGAGCGGCCGCCCACCGCAGCCGCCGCCTCCGCGCGGCCCCCGGCACCGCCGCGCGGCCTCCCGCGCCGCCGCGCCGGCCGCCCACCGCCGCCGCCGCGCGGCCCCACGCGCTGCCGCGCCGACCGCCGCGCAGGCCGTCTCCGCGCCGTCCCCCGCGTCGCCGCCTCCGCGCCGACCGCCTGCACTGTGGTGAAGGAAAAAAGGAAGGAGAGGAGGGGAGTTAGAGATAAGGAAAGAGATAAGAAGTTAGAGAGGAAAAAAAGAGATAGAGGGAGGAGTTTGTTGTGTGGACGGGAAAAGAGGATCGGTACTATGGATTATATAGTGTGTTTTGATTTTTATTCCCGGTTAGTAACACCAACCGGGACTAAAAATAGGTTTTTAGTCCCGGTTGGTGTTACTAACCGGACTAAAGATCATAAGGCCCTGACACAGCCTGACATGGAATCAACCGGGACTAAAAATGAACTTTAGTCCCGGTTGGAGTTACCAACCGGGAGTAAAGATGATTTTTAGTCCCGGTTGGTAACAACAACCGGGACTAAAGATCTTCCTCTTATTAACCGGGACTAAAAATCATTTTTAGTCCCGGTTTTTAATGGAACCGGGACTATTGTGGATATGGGTCGACCGACCAAAGATGGTTTCTCTACCAGTGAGTGTTCACGGACTCCGTCGATGGGAGCAGCTCCAGCTCTGACGCCGCATCCACCGACGAGTGGCCGGTGACGATGTCGCCGCCCAGGCGCCCATGAAGACGGTCGGCAGCGCCGCTGCGGGTTCATCAGCCACTGCGTCCTTCTGCAACTGGCGTCCCTAGAAACGACGCTGGCGAGGCTCGACCGACAAGCGATCCAAGCGAGAACATCTTGAGCTGAAGGAATGGCCACCCGAACCGTCCACGTGGGAATGGCTCCGAAACGGTGGGGACGTAGAGCGTGAGCTCCTCGGTGAGGTTGGACAGGCTCGTCATCTCGTTGACGGCGTCGCCGGATTTCCTCGGGTAGCTCAACAGCGAATTGGCGATGACAGTGCCGTAGTTGAACCGCTATGCTGGAGGAACTCGCTGACTAGCTTGACCTTGGTGTAGCGGACGCCAAGCTCAGCTGCTCACCGCCGGAGACGCCGAACCAGCTCCACAGCTCGATGGGGTGCACCGTCCATTGGAATGTCAGCGGCGGAAAGCGGCGCTGCCGCCATCGCCGTGGGGTGATCTGGCCCATCATGATGCTGCCGTGGTGCCGGAGAAGATGGTATGTGTTAAATAAATGAACTTCTGTCAGTTGGGATTTGATCTTATACTCTTATTTAATTTCTGTAAGTTTGTTAGCTATTTTCCCTCCTCCCATGGTTTTCTGCTCGTTCTGTTTTGAGTCAGCGTGGCCGCGATTTGTTCGGTCAAGTAGTGGAGCTTGACGAGCGGGAGAGTATCGAGCTGAGAAAACGAGCAGCACCATGAACTAGCGTTGGTGAGCACCACCTCCCTTCTGCTCGAGCTCGGTTGAGGGCTGGGAGCTTGACCTCCGTGCCCACCGCCCACCGCCGGCCACCGTCGCGGCGCCATCCTCCTCCTCTCCTGCCTCGCCCCGTCGATGCCCGCGTCGTTCGCTCCTTCCAGCCGCCCGCGACACCTGCACACGCCCGCGCCTCCCTGTCGACGCCCGCGCAAGGTCGTGGAGCTCCGCCGGGCTGCCGTCGGGCTTCCCCACTGTGGCCGCCGCCGGCGGCGCCATCGCGGCGCCGCGCTCCTCTTTTCCCCACTCACTCCGCCGACCGACCTACAGGCGCAGAGAGAGAGGAGGAACCGAGGAAGAGAAGAAGGGGAAGATAGATGACTCAGCCTGACATGTGGGACCCACGTGGGTCCCACGCTGAATCAGCTGTCACGTAGGACAAAACCGGTGTCAAAACCACCAAAAGATCTATTGTGGCCGGTTTTTATTAGTTAAGGGACGCTGGATATCTGGTTTTATTGTTGGAGGACGATTTTGTAACTCCATGACAAGTTGGGGGACCTTCGGTGTACTTTTTCCTCCCGTCAAACTGGTATGGGCCGACGACCCCATTAGAGGAGGAACCGAGGAAGAGAAGAAGGGGAAGATAGATGACTCAGCCTGACATGTGGGACCCACGTGGGTCCCACGCTGAATCAGCTGTCACGTAGGACAAAACCGGTGTCAAAACCACCAAAAGATCTATTGTGGCCGGTTTTTATTAGTTAAGGGACGCTGGATGACGGAGCGTGGGGCTCCTCACCGGGAGACCGCGCAGGCCCCCCTTTGCCGGTTCGGCTGGGGGCGCTGAGTGAGGTTCTTCACCCTCGATCTGTGGAACGTTCGCGAGAGAGCAAATGCACAAGACACGGGCGATGTATACAGGTTCGGGCCGCTGAGAAGCGTAATACCCTACTCCTGTGTTCTGGTGGATCTGTGTGTGAAGGAGTTACAGAGCAAATGGAGAGCAAGAGAGTTCAAGCTCTAGAACCCCTCTTTTTCCTTCTCTTCTGGTTCCTTTTCTCTCTCCATCTCCTCCTCTCCCCCTTTTTAGGTGGGCAAGGTCCTCCTTTTATATCTCAAGGGGATACCACATGCACTACTTCTATCTACTCTTCTTTTGGGTGGGGACCCACCCTATCTTGACCAAATCTTGACTCGCGCCTCCGCCTGGAAGCTAAATCACCGCTTGTCCTTGAGTGATGCCCAGCGCCGTCACTCGTCGGACACAGGGGATCACCCTGTCATTTCTTCATTAATGGGAGGAGATCTTCAATGGCCGCTGTCTGAATGACCCTCCGATGGGATGGGTCATACCTACCTCCACTCCGCCGGAAGCAGATGCAACGTGGGAGCACGGTTGTCTGCCGATGACGTGACCGGCGTCAGTCTAGTCACAGACCGGTCATTCTTCTCCACCACGTGTCAGTTTAGCATGCCGCACATCTGCCCTTCTTCATACAGTGACTTCCTTGCAATGGTTGCGATGAAGCCTGGCATGAATCGAGCCGGGACTGACGTGCTAACTCCAGGAGTTACCACGCCGGCTCCAGCTAGGGACGAGTGCCAAGAGGCTCTCATCATTCCGACGGGACGGGGCGAGGCGTGTGACAGGCCGCCTGCTGCCACCTAACCCGCGATCTGACCGGTCTGTGACCGGTCACACACTGCGACCGGTCACGGACTGGATATGCGTGCGCCGTGCTGCATTAAATGCGGCGTGGCGCGCTTGTCCATTCCGCAATAAATGTGGTTTGGTGAGCGCCGCTGTGCCCACCTAACCCACACACGTGGCGCCAATACCACAGGGGGTCGGGGCGCCCCAGCCCTCGGGGCCGAAACAGGAGCAGCCCGACCCCTCGGGGAGACAGAGGAGGGGGTGGGCACGTCTCCCTCAGGCCCGACCCCCCCGAGGGGGTCAGGCCACGTGGGTGACCGTGGCTGCCCAAGCCTCTAGTCATGATACTCCCGGTCCCATGTCACCGACAGTAGCCCCCGGCGTTATGCCAGGGCGTTCGCCCCTCTCGAGGGAAGCGCTCGGGCGTGACGCCACTCTTTAGACCTGGTGACAGGTGGGGCCGCTCTCTACAGGCGGGCAGGAACCCAGCGGTCGCAAATCGCGCGCATCGGCTAGGGAAAAACGACCGATAACAATGAGT